AGTGCTCTGTACGTGGGGTTTCTCTCCCCCCACCTTATTTGCTGCTCTCCTTTTTGTAAGTGTGCAAGGGTCTGGAGGGGTTTGATGTTTTGCATTTCAATCAAAATATAATTTTTCTTTTTTTTTCCTTCCCATTTTTAAGCCAGTTCAAATTATTATTTTGCCAGCCTCTTCCTTTATTCCATTCACACACACACACACAAAAAAAAAAGCCATCTAAAGCCTTTATGATCTATGGGCAAAGCAGCCCCCGCTCCCCACATTCCCACTGAAAGCCGGAGCGGTTCTGGGCTCGGCAGCCTCCATTATGGAGCCGTGGGTTTGGTTTTGCGTGGCCTTTGCTAGCCAGGGCATCTTATCACTCCTGAACCCCTCAGGTGGGACCAAGGGTGCCCCCCTATGTGTGTGTGTGTCCCCCCCCCGAGATCGTCCCTGCATCTTTGGTCACCATCGGCGCTGGCAGAGCGGCATGAGATCAACTCTATCGTGTGTTTATATAATGGCCTTTGTGCTTGTACGTGGGTATTTTATATTATATAAAAGGGGATTGGTGCAAAATGGTGTGTGTGGGGAAGCAGCGCTGGTGGCTGGATAGTATTTTTTTATTTTTAGGGGGGGAGGCTGTGTAGTATATTGTAGGTGTCTGTGTAATGTTGGGTATTCACGTATGCAAACGCTCATGCAGAGCACACACTCGCTTTGAGGTTGTATGTGTGTTAATCCCTTATGGAAAACTAAATGGTTTAACTAAATGATTGCCCTGCAGCCCCTGGGAATGCTGCCTTGGCTGGAGAGGACGGGAAGGGTGGCAGGGCAGGGGGGGTTAAGCCCGCTGGGGGGGCAGGAGGGAGGGATGGCTCTTGAAATTTTAGATGTATAAATAACATATATAGAGTAATATAATTTTCATATCTAATCATATCAATGTTATATGTGAAATTTTTTTTTCTTCCTCTTGTAATAGTAGAGCTGAAGATCAGATGATAAGGGCGGAAGCTGTAGATGGTGGGGGTAGCGTGTGTGAAGTAGAAGCAAATGTGGTAGATGTTTGAACTCCTGGAGCAGTTGTTGCAGGGGGTGTGGGGTGTGGGAGGGATGTGTGTGTCCTACCCCCTTACCATGAATCCAGGCTGTTGCGCTATCCTCCACCCAGATTTTCTAAGCACACTTGTGTGTGTGTGTATGTGTGTTGGGGGGGAGATAAGGCAAAATGACAGCTGTGTGAGACCATGATTTTTCATTCCATTATCCTGCTTCCCACTTCCACCCCCTCGCCCCGGAGCATTTTTTAGATTCCCCTTTGGAGCCTGTTGCTTAATCAGCTAGAAGGGCTGCTGCCTCGTTGGGTGAGAAACCCTTCTTAACCTGGCTCCTGCCTGTCCCAGAAGGGTGGGACCAAATTTAGGCTTGGGACTGTATTGTTGCAGAACAATAACTGGTGTGCCCTGGTGTGGAGGGGGTCCCACCGGGACCTCTTGCCCGGCCACTGCGGCTTCCTGGGCTGTGCTTGCCCTGGCTGGGGGTCGGGCTCGCGTGGGAGTGCTCAGGGTTCGCAGGCCTGGGCAAATACGGCCATGAAGGAAGGAGGTTTGAGAGCTGTCTTCGTGACAGTGGTGTGACGAGTTCCCGGGGACACAGACCTTTGATCATTTATTGGAGTAGGAGTGTAAGCAAGTCAGATGTATGTTAATGTGGTTATACAGAACAGCAGGCAGCGGATAAAAATCGTGTCTCTTTGCTGCGCCCTCACCCAGGTATGTCTGCCTCCTGGTTCGGTTCCCAAGGCTCTGCCGACATTCCTTGTAGTAAGAAAGTCAGAAATAGCCACAGGGTTTTGTAGGTTTTAGACGAACAGAAACCTACATGCATAAGTAAATACTAGGTGAGGGGACTCCACCTCTAAGTGTTTTGTGTGTGGTTTCTGGTGACTGGAGCTCTGCTTTCAGGGTTCACAATGTCCCCTGAATGCCTTGATAGGATTATTTCCCTGTATGTCTCTGCAGCCCATCCATTCCTCTTTCTGTAATCCCATCTCCTGGGGCAGGAGAAGCAGCACTGGGTTTATAGTATGCCCAGAATCTTGTAGCTGGGATTATTTTTTTTTGTGCTTGTGTCTCACAAAGCCATTCCTCCCTTCTTTCCTTCAGTGATGCTCCCTTCCCACTGAGCTCCAGCGAGGGAAAGTTCCTCTCACCTACTTGTGAAAACATGAATCATTCCTCACCTTTCCTGTCCCCAACAGGCTCTGTGTCTGCATTTTGTACGCTAATAATGTGGCATTGCATAAATTAGGAGTGTGGCAAATCCCTCTAAAAGGAGACGCGTTGGCTGTCTTGGGAAGAGCTGCGGTTCCTAGAATAAGTTGGTGGCCAAAGAACGGGTGAGGGAAAGGGGGCTGTGAAGGGGGGAACTGCTGGAACTGTGTTTGGGTGAGGTGTTTGCAGCAGAAGTTGAGGTTGGCAGGGAGAACAAACTCTGTGGCCGTGGTTCTTCCACCTAGTTGGTTTTCTGTGGAAGGTGAGTAGGCTAAGCTTGGGCATGTTGATAGGGCATAGCAGGTCAAAGGGTTAGCTAATCACCTCAGGTAAAGGGATGAGGAAAGGCCTGAGCTGCTAAAAACAAACAGCCGACACACCTAGGTAGGCAACAGAGACGGAGAGGCTCAGGTAGACCAAAGGAGGCTGTGATCCCATCAGCAGAAGCATGTGGAGATAAGCAAGTGACATTCTTAGTCAGTGCACGCCTGACAGGGTTCAGTTCATCGAGATGCCTCCTCCCTGTGCCGGCCCTCGCCTAGGGCCGATGGAGTCTTTGCTCCTGGCAGTCTGTCTGTCTCTCGAAGCCCTTGGGTCCTGTGCTTCAGCACCACCACGGAGGTGCTGGTCTAGGGTTGGGCCAGAAAGTGCTCCTTCTCGTAGGGTTTATTGTGCCTGTCCCTTCTGGGGTCTCACGAGGTTCCCACTATCCTGGTGCCAGGTACTGTAGGTTACAAGGAGCACTACCATCTCTCTTCACACCCGTGTGAAGTGGTCACCCACTGAAACCTTCTTAGGAGGGATTTCTTGCCCCCCCGCTGCCCTCCCCCCCCCCATCTCTGAACAAAATGGTGGGGAAGAGATTCAATCCTCCTTCATTCCCATAGTGGGAACATGGAAAACAGGCTTGAAAAGGTCATGTTCCTAGTGTTTCTAGCTTATGCTGTCCCTGACATGCAGAAAATCAGGAGAGGTGATAGAGACCTTGTAGAAAGTGAAGTATTTCAAGATGAAGAACTGTACCCAGCCTCTGGGTGAAGTGGGGAAGGTCTCTTCTGTAGTCTGACATGATTCACTTCCTGCTTCTGCTCTGACGCTGCGCTTTCTGTGCTTCTTTTCTCAGCACGACTGAACCATGGAGCTTCGAGTGGGGAACAAATACAGGCTGGGCAGAAAGATTGGCAGCGGTTCATTTGGAGACATTTACCTAGGTGAGTGTGAGTCTCTGTCCTTCCAACTGCAAGATTATTTTTCTCGATTGCATCATTGTGTTGGGGTGGTTTTTTTTCTTGCCTGTTGATATTTGTGGGCACCGTGTAAGGTTGGAGGTGGTGGAGAGAAAAAGAGCTTCAAGGAATACTGCTAGTTGCTGCTGGTCTTCTGGTGGCAAAGAAGGTGGGATGAGCTCAGCTTTGCCTTGCAGGTATTGGAGACACAGCGGTGTTTGATCAGACTGATTTAGCTTTGGACTATTCAGGGCATATTTGTGATACACCCTACTCCAGCTCTCTCACTTCCTTTTCTTGGGTTTGTGTGTGTGTGTGTATAAACTCCATAAAGAGTGGGTGGTGGAAAGGGAGGAGATGGCTGTTCCTTCAGGGTAGAAGGAATAAAGTTTTGGGAAGATTGGTAATGAAAGAGGTGGTCCAGCACCTATGAGAGAGAGGTCCAAGACCAGGAGGTATAAAACAGGTCAGAGAGGCTAGCCTAGTTAAGGTCCTGGGGCCCAGATCTGTTGGATCTGTAATGGGATTTAGAGTTAATGTCTGGAATGTCCTGAGCTGGGAGCTCAATGGACAGAGCCCACGAGACGCTGGGTTTGCTGTTACCATGGTGGGTCACTTGGGGAGAAGTTCTTCCAAGCCAGTGTGCTGATGTGTAGATATGTTCCCTGGTGCTTTGCCTGGTGATGTTTCTGTTGGCTCAAACTGTGTGGCGCTAGAGTGGTGAGAATACCGAGTAGCCTGATCGATCCCTCCAGGAGAGCTGGGGTGGCTTTACTTGTCGTCTCGTTCTCACCACTGCCTGTTTAGCTGTAGTCCTTCAGGCCAGCAGATGATTGCCCTCTCCTTTCTGGTGTTAGCACCCGTTGGGTACAAAAACGATCATCATGTGCTCCTTGACAGTTAATTTGCTCACCTGAGTTGTATTTTACTTACCAGTACATCCACCATTCCCCACTCTTGCTGGTTCTTCAGTTTTTCCCAGTTTGTCCATCTGCTGAGCAGCTTGGAGCCTACAGAGCGTTTGAGGTGTGGCATTTCCAGAGCCTGGCAGTGAAGGGCTACCCTGGAGTGATCTGTAACGCGATTCCTCTGCATAGACTCTTTTGGGTCTCCTTGGCTTCCCCCATCACCAGCACTGTATCAGGTTGCAGAATTGGTCTTAGCGCGCTGTCAGCTGTATTGTAGGAGATCTCTTCTAGGTTCTGCAACATCTTCCCATCCCTCCCGGAGTTCCTTTTCATTGAATACCTCTAGTTCAGGTTACTTTTCCCTGTGTTTGTAGATCACCTTCTGTTTTCTACCTCTGGCTTTTATCTCCAGTTCCCTCTTGCTTTATTATTCTCTCTTGATTGGTGTTGGCAGCCTCTCTTGATTAAGTATCCTGTGGGAATCATCTGTAACAGGCTGTGTTACCACCTTTATCCAGAGCACGAACAAAGATGATAAATAATGGATCTGGGATCCCAATTCCACCGTGTGCTGCCTTTACTGCAGCCTACTCCTGTGTGCCACTCCTTTGTGGCCCTCCAGCCAGTGAGTGTCTCGGGTGACAGTGCTTTTAATTCTCAGGTGCTAGGGATTGAGGGGGTATAGCCCAGACACAGCTTTTTCCACCTACGGTAGGGCTTGAAGCCTTCCAAACCCTTTCTAGAACAGTATAAATTGTCAGGATCTTGGAAAACATCTGGGGTACACATGGAGAAAGAAGAGGGGTACTGAATGGAAAGGCCTGATACTGTATTCCTCTGCACCATGTAACAGGTTGTCCACCTGTGCAAAGGGAGCATGGAAAACAGTCTCTGACGAAGGGGTTGTGCCCGCCTTGTCTGTAACCAAACAACATGAGAGGCGGAGGAAGCCCCAGGGCCGTAATGTGGTGAGCACAGTGGGATGCCTCCGACTGCCGAGTTTAGCCGAGTTGCTTGAATGCTGTATCAAAGCCCTTGTGATGTTCATTGAGGTGCAAGCCAGCGTGTTTTGAAGCAGTGATAGTGAGACTTCTTGGAGCCTGGGTGACTCCCCAGCCCGGAGGGATGGGGCATGTAGTCTCTGATGGTGCGTCTGGAGGATGCTTGTGCTCGTGTTGTCCTCTCACGGTCTGCTTTGCAGACAGAGGGACTCATTCACGAGGACTTCTCTCCTGCACCAGATTCACCTCACAGTTCTCTCTCTTGATAATGGTGCAGGGACAGACCAACCATGTCTGTCTCTGAACGTGAGCGTGGGCTGTACGATTTATCCCCGGCTTCTCTCTTTCAGGGTGTGGGTACCTTCACCCGCTCTGTAACCAGTGGGTACTGCATGCTGTGCTCTTCGGGTTTTGGTTTTGGGTTTTCCTATCAGAAGGAAACTTGAATTTCTACATGGGCAGACACAAAGGCTGGGCTCTTGTTAATCCTCAGCTGGGGCTTAAAGCACAATGCCTTGTTCCCGTGCCCTACCTCAGGGTATAGATGTGCTAGGGGAGATATTCTCCCCACGTTGCCTTGGGAGAGTGGGAAATGAGATCGGGCTGCCCATCAGCCTTGGCTAGCCCATTTGCCTCTAAAAATACTCGCTCGGACGTGAAATACTCGCTCGGGAAAGCAAAACACAGTTTGCAGAGGAATTGCTGAGACCTTTGGGCCATCGGAGGAGAGGTGCTTTGTCAGAGATGTTGGCCGAGAGGCAGGGCAGGGTTGCTGGACGTGATACGAAGAATTGAAGAAACGAATCGTCGGGCGGGATGCGTGTTGCTGGTGGAAAGGAGCTGGGCAGACAAAGCGTGCTGGGACCTGCGCTGGCTGGGGACAGTTCCTGGTGGCAGGCTCCTCCCTTGCTGGGAGGGGAGTGCCTTCCCTTTGTTTCCTGGCCTGTTAACTCTCTCTCGCCCTATCTGACTTCTTCCATCTGTTCCCAGCCCTCCATTCTTCCCGTGCCAAGCTGGCGAGAGGGGAGCAGGCGGTGGGGAGAGTGGGGGGCCGTATCTGTTGACTTGCCTGATGCGCAGGGAGGGTGGTGGTTGTTGTATCAGACATACAGCGAGGCTTCCATGCCAAAAAGGTGCTGTTTAGCCGGTGACATCCTCTGTCCCCGAGGCCCCGTTTCAAACAGCTCGTGATGAATGAGTTGAATTTGTGCAGCCCCCACAGCGGAGCGAGACTGGGGGTGGATGTTAGGAATTATCCCCAATCCTACATACGTCTCTCGAGTGGCTGAAGCAAGGCAGGCTCTGCTGCATTTGTCTGAAATGTGGTGCTTTCCAGTCTGGAAAGGGAGCAGAGAACTGTTGCTTTTGTACTTGTATCTTTAAAAAAGGTGGTGGTTAAAGCATGGAACAAAGGATCAGAGAGACTCCTGCCCTTGAATTCCCTCCTCACTCGTGGTGGTCTTGGTCTGGGTAGATGTCTAGCCCAGAAATGGTCGAGGGAGCAACCTGAAGATGTAGGGGGGGTTGGGGAGGGGGAGTGAGCCTGAAGTGTTCAGTCGGTGACACCCTCAGCAAAGCATAGCTCCTCGTTAGGTCCGATTGGTCTTACTTTTGCTGTTCCAGGCCACACGGTTGTTTCTTCTTTTTCCAAGAGGCTGACAACTGTGTTTCGGCTGTGGAGAGTGTGGGGCTGAAGGCCATGTTGATCATTTGAATGCCATATTCACATATGCAGAATCTTAAGTTTTCTTGATGCTTACCCCTCCTTTCCCCTTTCCTGCTTTACATGCTCACAGATAACACTCCTTACCTGCAGACAGCCTTGTAGATGGGTGCATCATCATCTTTCTAAGCACACAGGGTAATGTGGAGATGAGAACTCATTCATCATTCCACTGTTCAACTTCTGGGGGTAGGGTTCATTCGAAATGCTAATGCTACTGCTGCCAAAAGTCAGCAAGACTCATCATTGCTTGTGTGTCAGCAGATGTATTGGGAGAAGGAAAAATTCCCCCAGGGAATGGACAAGGGAGCTGCTGCAGAGGATTTGGAGGAAATTCAGGGGAAAGAGAGAAGGGAAGGAAGCACTCTGTATCTTTTTGGGTGTCCACAGTGAATGAGGGCCAGTGATCGAACGCTAATTTGAAAGGTAGATACCACTCCAGGGCCATGTTTTTACTGTGATCTGAGCCTCTTTTCCTGCTCTTTTTTTCCTTGCACTCCTGATGCTTGTAAGAAGGGTCCTGTAGTGGAATGAAGGGAGCTTACAGACTTGTTTTGCTGGTTAGTGGTTTTTAAGTGGAAAATGCCAGCATCTTTCCAAAAGTAACCATTGGACAAATGGCTTTAGCTCTCAGGATCGCTTTTTGCCTTTCCCTTCTGCTGGATCTTGAGTAAAAACCCTTATTAAATTCATACCATTGCTCCTCCTCCCCCTCCCTCAGAGCACCCTAAATAATTCCTCTCCCTCCTTAGTGTTTACAGCCTTCAAATATTTGCAGGCTGTTGTCATGTCCCATTCTTCCTCCCCACCCTTCTTAGTTGTATCTCTTGTCTATGTTACATATTTAGCTCTTTTAATCTTTCTTAGTAAATCAATCCCTCTAGGCCCTGCTCGTTTTTGTTCCTCTCTTACAAATTCCTAGCAGCTTGTCTGTCTCGACCTGGTGCTGTAGTATCTAGATGACGTCTTTTTGCTAGCAGGCAGCTCTTGGCAAACTTTGTGTACAAGCCAGAACTCTTCAACAGAAGATGGATCCCCTTAGGATCCAGGGGGAGAAGGCATCCAGTTGTATGAACATGTCCTTTTTCTCCTTGATCCCTGGCTCTGGAGGTGGTGTGTGAAAGAGAATGGATGGAGAGATCTATCTGCAGCTGTCCTGGTGGACTCTGAAAATTATTGCAGGGATCAGGAGGCACGAATTAACCAGACCTACCAAAAGTAGCTATGTGATATCTATGAAACATCACCTTTGACTCCTGCTCGTTTGGCATGCGTGTTCTGGAGCAGTTTAGTTTATGACCGTGTTCCTAAGTTGCTCATGATCAGAGCTGCTCTCTCATTTGTGTTTGAGTGCAACTTTTAATAGTTCCGGATACGAGGAAAGGCTTGTCTGTGTGTGTGAGGCAGGCATGGGAGGGGGGGAGAGAGAAGCAAGTCTTGAGTGTCATTCCCGTGACCTGTGCACAGATCTTCATTCTTTCCATTTTAGGATGATGTGAAACATCTGGAATCCTCTCAGCTAGTACAAGAGAAAGACCAGCCTGTTCCTCCTTTGACAGTGCACTTTGGGATCAGAGTGCTGGCTTTCGTGGCTGGCAGCTCAGTTCTTTTCAGAAAGAGGCACGTGGGGTGGTGGTTTTGTGTCATCGCAAACTCTCTAGCAATACCTTCAACAAAGGCGTCCGAGTAGCTTAATTCAGTACCGGATTCAGTTTATTTTTTCATGCTTCTAATTTAGGATGTAGCAAATGTTTCTGTGTTGGCAAAAAGATAAAGGTATTGTTAAAGCCCTTGGGACAAGCTGGAGATTTGGGAATTGTCTGTATCGAGCAGGTCAGGGCTGTGGAGAAACCAGAGGTAGCTGGGAATGTTAGCAATGTCTCCTCCTGAACTAATTGGTTCTGTTGAAACGATGTACCTAAGGTAACCAGTAATTTTGCTTGGGAAGAGGTACTCCATATCACTGCCTGGGGGAGCTGGCTTGGGTTCAGGGCTAGGTATATGATCAGGGACAGCTAAAACTTCCCCCTCAGTTTACGTACTGCTGATACGTACTGGTTGACCTCGCAATGTCTGGCACTTTTTGAGGTAACGAGGTGGTTAACATGTTGTAGGACTGTTGTTCTAGCCTGGCTGCAGGATCAGAGCTGGTTTCTTATTCATGTGCCTTCCTCTGGGCTTGCCTTTGCAAATGGCAGTGCTGGAAACTCTCTATGGAGTTGAAGTGGCTGAATCTCATTTCTGTCACAGAGAATAAATTTCAGGGCAAATCTGAAGGTTTTGGCATCTGTACGGGCCTTGTTAAAAGTGTTTGGCTTCAGTAGAAGTTTGCACAATCTTCATTTCACCCTCATTTCTATGCAGGAGCCAATATTGCAACTGGTGAAGAGGTGGCCATCAAACTGGAATGTGTCAAAACCAAGCATCCCCAGCTCCACATTGAAAGCAAGTTCTACAAGATGATGCAGGGAGGAGGTGAGATGGGGAGGAAAGGATGGGGCCAGGGGAGTGGTTGAAGACGGAATTTATTCTGGAGAGCCTTAAAAAGGAAATGATTTGGTGTTACATATGATCATCTCAGCAGGGGATGCAGCAGTTTTCCTCTGTTCTGTGGGCTGAATCTTTCTCTTTCCCCAGTGGGTATCCCCTCCATTAAGTGGTGTGGAGCAGAGGGGGACTATAATGTGATGGTGATGGAGCTCTTGGGGCCCAGCCTGGAAGATCTCTTCAACTTCTGTTCCCGCAAATTTAGTCTCAAAACAGTTCTGCTCCTGGCAGACCAGATGGTGAGTTTCCTCCGAAGCATTTGTGCCTACTCTCCTTCTCCAGGCCTTTTTTTTGCCCTCCCCCCCCACCCCCTCTGCTCAAGAGCTGCTATGTCCCAGGCTTTTTTCATTTAGCAGCACTTGGCTGCCAGGTTTCCATTTCTTGATGAAGCTGGGGGCCTGGAACCTAGACACTGCTGGCTTTTCCTGATTTCCATTCCTTCTTCCTTCCCCTGCTGCCTACCCTGTGTTAGCATTGTGTGCATAGATGCTTTTGCCTGCACGATGAATGATTAGCATTGCTACCTATCTCAACTCAGCTGCCCATGCCCTGGGTTTAAGACCCTTAGCTGTGCTGGACCCTCTCCTCTCCCAGCCTGGCCAAGTTTGAAAGTTGACTGGTATCAATGCTGAAGCTCAAAGTTTTAGTCCTTACAAACTTCCTTCCCGTCCTTCCTTGTGGTGCTAATGTTGACCTCCCCGGATTGAGGACTGGGCTGGTGTGCAAGGTTGAATTCCGTCTCCATCTCCAGATCCTTCTGCCTCCAGAGGTTGTCTTTTCCTTGGCTCTCATCTCTGATATTCTCTGCAAAGTGTCAAAAAAAAGTCCAGTATCCTGGACGGGGTACTGTTTTTCACAGATGCAGTTATGTTAAGTTTCCTTCTTGCTTGTCTCACTATTTATTTATTTCCTCCCTCTCCAGATCAGCCGTATTGAGTACATTCATTCCAAGAACTTCATCCATCGGGATGTAAAGCCAGACAACTTCCTTATGGGCCTCGGCAAAAAAGGCAACCTAGTATACATCATTGATTTTGGTTTGGCCAAGAAGTACCGAGATGCCCGGACCCACCAGCACATCCCTTACCGGGAAAACAAGAATCTGACTGGCACAGCCCGTTATGCCTCTATCAACACCCACCTGGGAATTGGTGAGCCTGCGGTTGCCCCTTGGTGGGGCTTTCCAGGGGAGGTAGTGTGTCCCCAGGAGGGGGTTGGGTTCTGTGCATGACTCTGCTGCTGACATGCCTTGGGATGGTGGGCAGATAACTCAGTTGTTACGCCTGTGTTACCTCCCCTGCCTTTTGTGGCACTCTGAGCTCCTGAAGACAGAAATTGTCTACCGGTATGTGTTTGTGTGCTGTTTGGTACCGTGAGGCCCTGTTTAGCATCAAGGCTGTGACCTCCCTGGCTCTGCTGCTACTACCTCTGCCTTGCACAATTTTTGTGGGCTAATTAGATACGTAAAGGAGACATTCACAGACACTGAGCCTTTAGGGGTATGTGGAATTCAAACCTTTTATTGTTGACTCCTGGGTGCCTTCATCAGCGATTATTCTGTAGCTGCTGGAGCTGGAGCATGCAGGCCCACTGCAATATGGTGATACTCCTGTTACCCACCACTGAGGATGGGGACAGCCATCTGCTGGAAATGTGCAAGAAGCTGAAACGAGGGGAGGCTTCCTACTGCCTGGCCGTGCAGGTTTTGTGATTGAGGATTGGCTGTTATGAGCCTTCAAAATACGTGTGTGTTGGTGAACCACACTGCTCCGTTCACCACCGAGAGAGATTGAGGCAGGGATTTTAGGGAGATAGGGCTCTGCCCTTAGTGTCTATGGCTGGTACTGTGGGGCTAAAACAGGGCTGGGACAGAGTGCTGAGGGTTCAGCCAGGTCTTACACTGGTGATGGCCATCGTCCCGGGTTTTATAAAAACCTTGTGCAGGTTAGTACCCACCACACTTAAACCTCCTGAAGTCATCCGAACTCTTGTCCTGGGAATGAGCCTCTGAGGCACAACACCTGGTTGCTGTGAGGAACAGAAGTGAAAACCTCTTGCAGTTTTCTCTTCCATTCCCTGACCGGAAACTTCTCTCTGGTCTGTGACCTCTTTCCTCCGGTAAACTTTGGCTAAACTCCCTCCGTCCACAGTGTGAGGGTTTCATAGTTACTGTAGGGTCTGTTCTGACCAGGCTGACTTGGTTCTGCTACTGATTGGCAAATCCAAAGAGCAGAAACACTGAAGCTACCCTGCCTGCAGACCCAGGAAAGTAGCTGCTGTGCTCGCAGCTGAGTTTGTATCTCTGGGAGACCACCTTCTGAAATTTATAAGCTGGGAATTTGAAAATCAATGCAAGGAACTCAAACCTTTTAAACTAACAGCTTCCACAGGATTCCATATCCTCGTTCTTCCTAGGGAAAGCTTCCCATTCTCCCCTCTTGCACATGATTTCTCAGAAATCTGGAATGAAGACTTGACCTGCAGAAAATAAAGTAGTTTCCCTCTGTCTTCTATGTTTAGTGCTGTATAACTGTAGACTGAAAATGCTTTATTTATATCGAAATGGGGAGTGTTGTGTGTTGAGAGTGGTCTATGATCTCCTGACCTCTTCCACGTAGTAAAAATAGTTCTCATAGAGCTTTCCGAGTTGGTCTTCTGTATTTTGGCTTGACCTGCTTATATATAACTGACTCTCCATTGAATTCTCAGTCAAGATTTCCACAGCCATAGTAACTGCCACAAGGAGACATGCACAAAATAATTTTCACTACTATGTCTGTCAGTTCTCTTGTTTGCGCCTGCTCTGTCTGAACTGATCATGAGAGCCTAAATGTCTGGTTGTGGGGTTGTTTGTGGTATTTTCTTTTTTTTTTAAGGACTTTATTATTCATCCTACCCCAACGTAGCCTGTTGCTACTGGTGCTTGACTTGCGTATCGGGATGAACAAACAATGTCTGAACACTAATCCAAGGGCAAATTGCATATACCATCGGTCTGAGCGCAGTCTCTCTCTTCATGAGAGAGACATTCCCTTTGCTTTGGGAAAGTCTAGTGCGAGTTACTCTGTGCAACAGGTCTCGAGTGTATTATCTCCACGTTGCAGATAGTTCCCCTGCATGGCATAAAGGTTACATGACTTGCCCGGAGGAAAGGGGTTGGTGGTGTCAGGGTTGCAGCTGGAGTTCCTGTTTCTCAAGACCTTGCCACAGGGTATATGACAGACATGTTTGTGAGTTAGCAGCATTGCTATGGGAACTGTCACTCTGATTTTTTTTGACTTTTCAGAGACTAAATTCTCTGTCTTAATGTTACATTAATGCCGTTTAGGGAGAGGGAAGGAACCAGGTGCTGGGGTATTCGTGTGACAGGAATAGCAAATGAATAAATGCTTTTATTTGAATGTGCAAGCTAAGGGTTGGGCATTCCGATGTCTGGAGGAAATGCATTCTTTTCCCAGTGACTGGGGGGAAAAAAGTAGGAGGCAAGATTGGGGAGGGTTTCCACAGCTGGAGACTTGCTTTTGGGGGAGTCATTGGACTGTGCAGGCTTTGGTTCACGCATTCCAGTCAATTTTCACATGCTCTGGGGATGAGAGTCCCTTGCACCCTCTGGAGCTTGTAAAGTCTGAAATAAATGCCCGGGGTGCCCAGGAGACAGTCTTGGAAGAAGCCTGGTGGGCTCTGTCTGGATAAGAGGAGGCTGGGAGCCGGGGGCAGTTCCTCCCCAACCCAAATGCGTGTCCGAGATGGCATCGGCATAGGCTGTGCAGATCATAAAGTTCTTCTGCTTATCCTGCCCTCTGTCACCCATTCCAGATTTTTGTGTGGTTTTAAAAGGCTGTTGCCATGCAGTGGGGAGAGAAAGGGGAAGTGTAATCCCAGCGCGTGCAAAATCAGATCTGAGTATGTATTTAGGAAAACATTGCTTGGTTAAGAATACTTGCAGCTGGGCTGGCTCCAGTGAAGAGAGCTGATTTCTAGGGAGTCCTGCATGGGAACAGCATCGCTTTGGATAGGATCGGAGCAGAGGGAAGCAGTGTCCTGGGAGACCAGGAGGCAGTTTAGGTTGCAAGGAAACAAGTTTTGTCACGAACCTTGTGTCTAAGGCCGCCGGTCCTCAGTCTCCTGTCTTTGCCCAAGCATGTCTTCCCCAGGTAACTCACTGTCCTGCTACTCGCCCCTGGCTCGGCTCCTTCTGAGGATCCTGCTTTGGGAAGGGTGTGAGGGTGTGGGCTGGCTGGGAACCTCCCTGGGAGTGGGAAGGAACTGGCAGGAGATTGCTTGCAGATTGGGTTGGGTTTGTGGGAAGGCAACCTCGTGTTTTCTATTGGAAGGGGTTTTGTGAGTGAAGGAGGAAAGGATGAGTGTCTTAGAAAAGTAGCAGACCCCCATGTATTGTAGGAGAGCTGAGAAGCTGAAATAAAGTGCAGAGAGGAAGTGTGATGTGGTGTCACAGGTCATGACTGTAATCCTGCTTCTGGACTGACTTGCTCTGGCCACTTGTGCTTCTCTTTTTCCTTTCAAACTGTAAAGTGAGATTATATATATATATATATGTGTGGTTTGTTTTTTTTTTTTTTTGCCTGCATCCCAGGGATGCTGTGAGAGTTAGTCAATGACTGTCAAGCTTCTAAAAGTGGAAAGCAGCGATATTAAATAATGTTTCTTTGATGTGTATAGAGGTGAACTTTTTTCTAACTATAATTAATTACTCCACTTTTGCTGTCTAATGTTACCTAGTATCCTGAGGATGGTGGTATGTGAGGCCAGGCAAAAAAAAAAAAATTAAGAATTTGGAGATGTGTAGTCGTAACTGAAGATGAAATGAAGAAATGGGATGTAGGAACTGTTCTTCTTCACCATCATCCAAGGTTTAATTCAGGATCTTGTAGATGAAGTTACAGGTGAAAGACAGCTGCAATGTTTTGAGGTAGCTTAGCAACTGTGACCCTTCATGTTGGTATTTCAGGCTTGTCATAGATTTGAATGTCACTGAAATTGCTGAAGTGGGCTACAATGACCATGTGTACCTCAGATATTGGACATCGGGGATGCACTGCGATTGGACGTTTATCATTGAGCATTTTAATAATTAGGTGTTGTGCTTGCAGTTGTTTTTCCTCAATTATATTGCTGTGTTAAGGCACAGTTAAGGTGTGTTTGCATGCGTGGAATGGATACTAGTGAGCTGCCTGGTTTGATTTTGTAACCCCTTTCATTGCCTCCGGTAAGGTCTTGTAGCATCCCCCATGGACTTCAGGCTCCCTAACCTCAAGTCTCTTAATTCTGGCCTTCCCCAGATCATTAGGACTATGCCTAGCCATACGTTTGCAGAACGTCTCCTGTTCTGGATGGGGTCGGTGGCTGTGCTCCAAGGTGCTGTGCTCCGTGCAAGTGGAGGTGTGTGGTCCAGCCTGCCCTAAGCAGTGTGGAGTTCAAGCAAGATTTTGGAGACAAGATCCTAATTTATTCCTAAAAGGCTGATTTGCTTGTTCAGTAGGTTTCTGTGGTTCTTGCCCACCTCTGAGGGGCACCACCACACTCTAGGCAGGGAACCCACAGTTACAGGCTTTGAAGCTACATCATGGATAAGTCAAGGGCTGGCAAATTGCAGGATTGAGGTTACCCTTGTCTTCTGTGCTTTCAGGCCCTGGATGTGCGTTCTAACTCCATTTTCACACACCTCCTGTCTCAGGATGTAGGTCATTATCAAATATTGTTTGATTTTATTTTTTTGATATGCATGGTGTGTAATCGCAGCTCTCTGAGAGTACACGTATCCCAACCTTAGGCCAAATGCAAAACTGGGTTTCTCTTCACTGCTCCCTCTATAGCATCTAAGCATCTCCCAGCCAGTCGTGTCGTTATCTTTGGCAGCAGCCTGATAAGATTAGAAAGTATTAGCCCCTTTAAAGTGGGCAACTTGAGGCAGGAAGTTAGTGAGGTCAAAAAATGCTGTTATTTCTGCATGCTCGAAGTAAGACACTTTGGGAATCTGCAGCACTGCTTTCTCCTCTGTTGCTGTCTTGGAACATGGCATTTTTATGGCATTTCAAGTGCTTTGACCCAAAGGTGCTCTCCTCTCGGTTACGGAGTGGTGAGACCCTCCTTTTCTTTTGCAACCACAGTGCTTTTTTTTTTTTTCCTAATATTTTTAACTTGCCAAGCCCCCTAGTTCTCAAAAATGTTAGGAGGTTATGAGTGAGATGCAGGAGGAAGAAAAGCCCATGGTGGTGATCCACAGCTTGTGTTGGCACATCTGAACATGTGGATCAGTGATCTGCTACAGCTACTCCTTCATCAGGGCTGAGTTCAGCTAGCAGAGTAAGGAGTAGCTGTAATAATCTACTGGCCTTTGAATGGGGCAGGTGGTAGCACGTAGCTGATACTGAGAATTAACCCACAGACCAATACATAATCTGCAGCATCTTCCAGGACATGGCACTGAATCCATCAAAATGTGCTGTAGCAGTAGATTAAGCTAATGGATGAATCTCTTTAGTCTTTCCTCTACCCCTGTGCTCTCCCTCAAGCCCTATTTTTGCCTGTCTGTTTGTTATCTATGTAAGTTGTTGTTCTCCTCAAGATGTAAAGTACTTTCACGGAATCACAGAATCTGTTAAGTTTGAAGAGATCTCTGGGATCATCGAGTCCAACCTTTGTCCTAACACCATCGTGTCAACTAGACCATGGCACTAAGTGCCATTTCCAGTCTTTTCTTAAACACCTCCAGGGATGGTGACTCCACCACCTCCCTGGGCTGTCTTCAGAGTGTTTATTTTATTTTATCTGGGAGGGAAACAAGGGCAAGAGCTTCTTGGCAGAATTTATAGGTGAATTTGTAAGCATCTTGGAGGAGTTGGGAGGAGTTTCACAAGTTAACCGGTCAGTATTTTCAGTTGCTGAGATTCTGCATCAGCTCCATCTGGAGCGAACTTGAAACTTAAAATGGCTTGGCCATTCCAGAGAACAAGTTCAATGTGGAATGTTTTTGTTTTGTAAATAAGTATCTGAAAGCGGGCTCTTACAATGGCGTATTAAGGTCAACCCTTGCTGTAAGTAGAGTTGGTAGTGATGCCAGTCACACAGACATTGCCCACTGGGAGGGGAACCTTTTGTTCAAAGTATGCCTCTGTGTTAATGCCCCTTTCCTCCGCAGCTTGAAAAATGCCACCAATCCAGAAAGATCTTTGCATGGTACTACATGTTAGGCTTCTCTAAATTATCAACAAAGTTGTTTTACCACGAGAAGGGGTCGCTAGTTCCTCGTTTCTGCCCTGCATAAAGAGTATCAGCAGGTTAATTAGAAGATATGTTTGAAAGGGTTGTGTTGGGCTTACCTCTGTTAGCTTTATCTTTCGGTGACTACCTCCGTCATGACTAATCCCCAGGGTGAAATATCATTCTGGGTGGAGAAGGGTAGGTGCCCTTCCTCTGGGACTGGGACGAGCAAAGTAGGCAGTGTCACTGCAGCACTCCTTGAGCTGTTGAATTCTTGTGTGAATTAAGGCTTGTCCAAGTGACGGTAGTCAGAGTAATTATTCATTTATGAAGTGGGTTGGGCTGTATGGGGAGAGGAGCACTTTAACTCTTGCAGTATGAACATCCTCACAGGAATTTGTACTGGAATGTCCTCTACAAGTTTGTCTGTCCATAGAAATCTACCAAAGAAGAGGGAGGGATCGTTTCTTTCATTCCATGTTCACCTCCAAAGCTCTGTGTTTGCCAAAGCAGTTTTGGTTGCTGCTCACTCCTTGCCCCTTTGTAACTTCTCCTCACAGAACAAAGTCGCCGTGATGACCTGGAGAGCCTGGGCTACGTGCTTATGTATTTCAACCTGGGCTCGCTGCCCTGGCAGGGCCTCAAGGCTGCCACCAAACGCCAGAAGTACGAGCGGATCAGCGAGAAAAAGATGTCAACGCCCATTGAGGTGCTCTGCAAAGGGTACCCTTGTAAGTGCTCTGATCTTGACGGCTGTCTTTTCTCTGATGCATGGCTTGCTCTCCTCCTGAAACCCCATGGAGTCTTGAGTCCTGAAGGGCAATGCCCAGTACCCCCAGACCAGGATGTGCTGCTGACACCAGTGATGAAAGGATAAGAGACCGGTGGCGATACAGTTCTGGTTCAGAAGTGGGAAAGGTGTTTTTGTGGAGAGTCGAGCCTTGTGTTATTAAGGGCATGAGAGTGCTGAGAGGGATCTTTAGGACCTCAGGAACAGTTTGGAAGCAGGGTGGGCAGTGAAGTGAGAAGGTATGCTGATGATCCGGAGCTTTTACTGGATAATGAGGATGAGGGCCAGCTGTGATGAATCCCAGAAATAACCAGGCAGTGAAGTGGCAAACGCAGTTCTTTGTAGGTAAATGTGGAGTTATGTATGTGAGAGGCGAGAGAAGGCTTGGTCCTCATGTCGTATGCAGAATCATAGGCTCTGAGATGACCAGTGCCACTTGCCAATGAGCTGTTGCGGTTACAATAGATGGTTCTGTGAAAGCATCAACTTTGTGCTTAGTGGCTACTGAGGAGAGCAGATTGGGTGTTAGGAATCACTAGGAAAGAAAAGAAGCTCAAACAGTGTGCATAAACCCATGGCCCCCTCACACCTTGCATGCACTGTGCAACTCTGGTCCATCCCACTGTTTCAGAAAGGATGTGGTAGGCCTGGAAAAAGGTCCAGGAAGGAGCCAAAAGGGTGATCAGGCGTGAGGCGATTTCTATACAAGCAATGACTGTGCTGGAACCTGGAAAAGAGGTGATTAGTAAGATAATAGAAGTCTACACTCTCGGTATGCCTCCAGAAATTTTGATGGGAGCTGATTATTTGGTGGCCCCAGTTTTTGTATTGGAGGAGAAACAAAGCTGGTTCCTGCTAGCTTCAAAACAAAACGTTGTGGTTCTTCACACAGACAGTAGCAGACCTATGGAGCTCCTTCCCAGAAGATGCTGTGAATACTTAAAGCTTGCAGGAGTTCAAGAAGAGGTTGGACAACTATGTGAAAGAAAGATCCACTGAGGGTTACTAAATAATTAGAAATCGCAGCTAGGTGAGGAAGTTCCCTGAGCTGCAAGTAGGTAGAAGCAGGGCTAATGTCAGTGGAAGTGTCAGACATGCTTGCCCCAGTCTTTCTCCTCTGTAGTTGTCTACTTCTGGCCACTGCTTAAGACAGGCTGCTGAACTAGAAGGACCTCTGGTCTGAGCTGAGCTTCCCAAAGCTCACCTCTACCTAGTCTTCAGGCCTGCATTCTTACTCTCCTTCAGCAGGCTCTGTGACTTCCTACCTCTTCCTTGGAGAAGCAGCCAGAAGAAAGAGATGTGTGAGCATTTCCTTTGGTAAAAATAGGGATGGGGTCTTCTCGGTGGCCAAAGCACTGCAACCAGCAGGCTCCGTTTTCATTACACAGCTGTGTTTGTGCCGTCCTGGTCGAGCGTGCCGCTGCTGAAAGGCTACGGCAGCTCCGTGGTGGGACCGGGGGGGTTGGATGGTGTTCAACAACCAACTGTTCTCTGCTCCCTCCAGCTGAGTTCTCGACATACCTCAACTTCTGCCGCTCACTGAGGTTTGATGATAAACCTGACTACTCGTACCTGCGGCAGCTCTTCCGCAACCTCTTCCACCGCCAAGGCTTCTCCTACGACTACGTCTTTGACTGGAACATGCTTAAATTTGTGAGTGTCTGTGGTGAAAGGGCTGGAGGGACAGGGGTTGATTTGTGTCATGGAAATGAGGGAGGAAAGTTGGAAACTGCCTGCCATTTGTACTTACCCCTGGTGAGCAGATTGAGAAAGGAGACCAGGTGGAGTGAAAAGAGGCAGAGTTGTTTGGTGGTGCTAACTGGGGAGTATAGCTGCTGTTGTATTAGTGAGTGTGTTTGATGGAGCATGTGCGTTAATAGATCTATAGGTAGATAGAGGTAATTTTTCAGGAGAGAACTATATTTGGAGGTGGGACACAGACATAGATTGTGATAACAGCTGTAGTACCATATGCTTTCCTCCCTGTTTCTTTGTGGAAGAGAATGAAGCCCTCGCTGGGTGAAGTGGTGGTGGGAGAACGTGTTTTGGGGATGGAGCTCTACTTTCTTGGCGTGATGGAGCACCGTGTATTTTCTGTCCGGGGCTGCTGCCGTCTCTCTTGCCTGACAACTGTGCATGGTGTTGGGGTTTCTCTCCTCCTCAGGGAGCAGCCCGGAACCCCGAGGATATGGATCGGGAGCGGCGAGAGCACGAGCGAGAAGAGAGGATGGGGCAACTCCGGGGGTCGGCCACACGAGCGCTGCCCCCTGGCCCGCCTGCTGGAGCCACTGCCAACCGTCTTCGCAATGTCACTGAGCCCATGGCCTCCACCCCCACCTCCCGAATCCAACAGTCCGGTGAGTGGGGTGAGAGAGCTGCGGAAGGGTAGCACCCCTGTTGTTGGCCAGAAACCGAAACTATTGACTGATATTCTTGTTTTGTGTTTCTCTGCCCCAACAGGAAACACGTCCCCCAGAGCAATCTCAAGAGTGGACAGGGAGCGGAAGGTCAGCATGAGGTTACACCGAGGAGCTCCTGCCAACGTCTCCTCATCTGACCTCACAGGGCGGCAAGAAGTGTCACGGATTTCAGCGTCACAGGTGAGTCCCTGTTGCGATGTTCGTGGCCTTGGCCTGGATGTCCCAGAAGGACTATGGGCCCCACAGTGGTTTTTTAGCTGATCTGCTGGAGCTGTCATGAGCCTGAGGCTTCTAGTGTGGTGAGGGGAGTGGTACCAAGTTATTACCAAGCCTTTGCTCTCCAGTTACATATTTTCTGGAGGCCATGCTCAGTACTGTCTTCTTAGCTCTGCTTTGCTTGAACTAAACCTTCATCTGGTTGTCTTCCAGACCGCAGTGGTTTGGAGAAGTGGAACAGTAAACTCTTGGGAGGGAGGATGTCCTGAGAGAAATGTGCAGCCTCTCTGTTTTGGTGTCCTTTGTGCCTTTTTCTTCCTTTCCATCCCTTATCTACTCTTCCTTTTCTCTTGTAGACAAGTGTGCCATTTGATCACCTTGGGAAGTGAGAAGCAATTGCCACTGGACCAGTGTTTGCTTAGGTGAGCCTGTCCTTGTGCCTGGGATCCCCCAAGGAGGGAATTGCTGGGATTAGGTTAAGGCTTTGATGTTGCTGTGGGGGATTGGTACATTTCCTTTCCCTTCGCCTTACTTTGAGATTTTTTTTGGCTTCAGAGGGAAGAGGAAGGTTGGCTGCCAAAACCTTGAGGGGATGGATTATTTTATCTTGGGTGTGGAGGTAGCTTCCATTTCTCCAGGAGAGTAGGGAGGGCAGAGAAGGTGCTGGGCTGGGTAGCCATTTCGTTAGTTCCTCGTGAATGCTTTTCTGGCAATGTGATAGTGTTGGGGAGGAGGGTGCTGAGCACGTAATAAAGTATGCAAGACTTTGCACAGCTAGCGAGTGCCTTTTGTAGAGGAAACGACAGTAGCTGGACAAGGTAACTCCAAGGGGTGGCAGGAGCGTAGAAAAAAGGGCTGGATTTGATTTGTTACACTCCAGTTGGCATTGGAAGTGCTGGGAAGAGCCTTTTCTCCTAACGTCTCTTCCCTTTTTCTCTTTTTAATTCCCTTTGTAGTGTCTTCACTGTATTTTTCTTTTAAAAAACAAAAAAAACCCAAAAAACAAACAAAAAACTAAAAAAAGACAAAAAAACAACAACAAAAAAAAACAAACCCCAAAAAAATTTCTTTTTGCCAACGACGAGGAGTCGAGCTGTGCCCCCCGCGCTGGCGTGAGCCGTTTCCGAGAGGTCCGCCTGCGTCCCCCAGCGCCAGCGCCTCCAAGAAGCTG